ATATGCGAACGGTCCTCTGACCTCATAGAACAATCTCGACACTTCTCCCATGTGGATTGAATTGAAAGAAGAGCGCGTGCTATTTGTCCTTGCCAGCAGCAGGTCGTTGTGAACAGATGACTGCATTTGTTCTGCACCAACGAATTCGGACCAGGGACAAAGTCATTTGTTTTGAAGCAACATAGTCTAGTGAATTGTCAAGATGGAGGTACGTGTGTTAAGTCAATTAGGCGCCACGTTGACACTGACAGCCGTGGAATCAGTGCAAGTAATTGGAAGCCTGGTAAGGCACCTGGAAAATGTAGTATTCTTGGGAGACATTCTGTTGAATCTATAAAACACAATGATAGAATAACAATTTGATTGTTCTTTATACGCATTAGGTGGTGGTCAGGTGCAAAATGTAGATACCTGGAACGCAGCGGCGGGAAAATATCGATCTGCCTTCTTCGGGACCGTATAATAATAATAAACGTCTTTATTAACCTTTAACCGATGTCGTAGGTACCTGGGACCGCTGGCGATATTCGTTCCTAATTTTTCCCCACTACTATCTGTCGTTCACGCGTATCCGTCTTAATACCTTCTTATTAGTACAACAGCAGTGCTAAAGTAGTGTAGTCGTGTTTATTTGAGCGTTAGTTTTTTCGTAATAAAATAAAGCGGTCCGTGGTACCTCACAGCGGCTTAAGTGTAAAGTGTCTGGGTGTGTACAACATTTTTGTATTGTTAATGGCTTCTGGACGCGTTCCCGACAGTGTAAACTTTGCTGACCCCGATTTCGAAGCCAAGGTCATGCGCATGCTGGAATCACTAGACTCAGATGTGGATATGTCCGACCAAGATGAAGATTACGTTGAAGAAAGTGAACATGATACCGATTCCGAATTAGATCTAGAACCGAATGAAGACTTTGATCAATCCAATAATCAATCAGTACAAGTGAGTGACAACGACTCATCGGATAACGAAAACCCGAATTATTATTATGGTAAAAACCGCTTTAAATGGTCTTATACCGAACCAAAATGAAATATCCGAAATCCAGCACATAATATTTTAAAATTACCTGGAATTCGTGTTCCGCAAAATGAAAATGAAGTGTTTGATCCAGTTTGTGCTTGGAACTATATTTTCAACGAAAACACGTTGCAGTGCGACTACCATATGAAACTGAGATCTTCAATTGCACGAGCTTTGGGAAATCAAGATGTTCCGCTACAAGAGGACCATGGTGTCGACAGGTTGGCCAGGAACGAAATAAAAACGTACCACATCTGTCCCCCAAAGAGGAAAAGAAAAACCGTATAATTATGTTGTCATTGCAAGAAACCAATTTGCCTGGAATGTTCCAAAAAAATATGCCGTAGCTGTGTTAGTAAAGTCTAGGTGTTCTTATAAAGAAATTTGTAGATTACAATAAATTCTATTATCTTTTACTCTGCACGTTTTTTTCTTTTGGATGTTATAGAGCTTATATTTGTGCAAAATAGTTCTTTAGGGTGTATTTCTTAATATGATAAATAATTTTCAGGTTTGATGTTTTTTAGTCATTTATAACTACAATAAATAAGGTTGGTAAATTAATATACACAAAACTGTATGCTATAAAAGTTAAAAATAAATGTTTTAGTCGGACTTTACATGTTTTTTTAAATATAATACATAAATAAGGACTCAACCTATAGTATATTCCAAGAAAGTAGTGTTTCTTAAAACAGTCATCGAAAATATATTTTTTTATTTTGCGGTCCCACGGACCACTCGACGGCGGTTATGCACCAAATAGTCACGACGTCGGTTAAGGGTTAAATAATATATACAATACATGTGTATACACATAAAGTGTAACTATACGTATATTAGCGAAGTTTAGCAATATGCTGCTCTAACACTTAACCACTAAAGTTAAATATTGCGTTGTTAACAGTTAACACAAATAAAATGCAAAATATATACAGGGTGTCCGCAAAGTTGGGGTTTTCCTTTACACGACGTGTAGATCTTGAAAACATAAGCAATTTTTCTTAGTACCATATACACCAATATCTTAAGGGAACCGAGATAAAGGGCTCTGCAACATCAAAAATATCTGAATACCGCCCTGTAGCCGCGACCCGCCCCGATATCCCAGACTGGTACAAGGCCTCTACCCGACGGCAGAACTGGGTCGAGGTTAGTGTGTCAGGTTAGTATGCAACCTTCAACCGACGGTTACAGTCACCCGTGTAGAGGTAGACAAACTCGTATAATTGATTGCGTTTCAGAAAACAACAAGCACTAGAGACGTGGCTAGAGAAGTGCAAGTATCAAAAACTAAAGTGTGGCAAACGCTGCGTGAAGAAGGGCTGTATCCGTTTCACGTCCAACGTGTACAAGCCCTTCCACCTGACGATTTTCCAGCAAGAGTGCGGTTTTGTGGGTGGTTGTTGCATCAACATGACAATAATCCGGACTTTTTGAAGTGCATATTGGTGACAGACGAATCTACGTTCGCGCGTAATGGGGTGAATAACTTTCGCAACACTCATGTTTGGTCATTTTCAACAAACATTTTCGGTGAATGTTTGGGCTGGCATGGTGAACGGTCATTGGACCATTTATTCTCCCAAATCGATTGGACGGGATTCAATACCTAGACTTTTCACGCAACATATAGGCCTTCCTTGTTAGAAGATGTGCCATTAAGTGTAAGACAATCAATGTGGTTTCTGCGTCTGCTCGGTAGCGCTTCAGCTGATTTCATTTTCTGTTGGAGCGGTATGATTTCGGGCAGAGACGTACTTAGCCCTTCCCGTCAACTGGAGAGTGAGTACTTTTTCCTTTATTTTTTTTTACTTGGTCGCCCTCGTTTCACTACACATTACCTTTGTTTATTTCAAGGGCAGTTGTTTCTGAAAAGGAAGACCCCAACTTTGCGGACACCCTGTATAACAAATCACTTATAACCCATATGAGAAGTGAAAAATGAGATATTTTGTGTGCACATACTGCTACTCTAAAGAGATCTATGAAATATCGAGGGAAAAGTTAATCATTCAAATAACTCAACTTAACATTGTAGCGGAAACGTGGTAAACTCATTGTCTCGAATTTACTGTCCAAAGAATTATACAGGGTGGCGCATCGAAAACGAATCAGACGCATTTACTGGCAGCTCAGTTTTTTTTTTGGAAAGACGCTCAGACCCGTCGATTTTGTTTTCGAGGGGGACACAAGTTTGGCAAAAAATCACGTTAACACGTGCAGCCTCCTGGGCGGGGGTGACACCAACCCTAAAATCTTGAATGGAAAGGGGGGTCGAGTGATACCTTATTTTAAAGGTCTTTCAATTCCCTTCATAATGATATAAAATTAATGTGCTTCAGTTCAGTAGTTTTGAAGATTTATTGATTTAAAGCTTAAAGTAGACTTTAATTAGTTTGTACTACATTCAGAAGAAATGTGACTAAAAGAGTTTACTTAATAAGTAATTGCTTTTCTTCACTACGCCCATGGTTTTTTTATCATTTTGTTGTTGAAAATAGCTATTGGAGCATTTTTTTTGTGGCATAGAAGTTATTTCTTGAAGAAAGATAAGGAAATATCTCGTACTTATTTTAAATAGGTTTTTAGTACATAGTTTGCGATTGATTTTACCAAACTTTGTTGCTAAAACAACTTGTAACGCTTTATTACATAAATTAACCATGGTATATTCCACGGCAGAAAGACATGAAATTATCGAAATATTTTTCGGAAATAACCATCTTTCTCTTCCAGATTCTGGATTTTTCTTGTATATCTCTAGTTAACATCTTGATTTTAAGATACATTTCACGTTTAAAAAAAGTATGATTTAACGATTTTGAATAATTTTTGGTCAGTATTATACACCCTGCGTCGAAATTTTTGAAAATGTCACATTCAGCTAGAAAATCTAGATTTGGTTTCAATAACCCACCTTCTGAAAGATGATTTAGGAAACTGAATTTCATTGCTGTCTGAAATACAACACAGATTTTCTTTTTTCTGTAATGAATAAGCAATAAACTTTCCTAACTTTTCCAAACAATCCCACTCTAGTTCTTGAATCATTTTTTGAACACCCGAATGATTTTGATCAACTTGTTCATTGTCACTGGGCAAATTTAAGGCCTCAAGCATTGGTTCAGTAACAATGACGGACCCATTAACTTCGTTTTCGGATACATCATTGTCAGAAATACCATTTACGCTTGCAATAGCAGTATTTGGAACGTTCCCCATTTCAGCATTATTTCCATATCTGGAAATAATCTTAGCATTTCGTCACACAAGATAACTGCTCGATCTATATTTAAGCTGTAGAGCAGTGGCGTAGTCATATGATCCTCCAATTGCCAATTTGAAACAATATTGCTCTTCTTGTTGTTGCTTGAACAACGCACCACTGCACCGTACGTCCATCATTAAATGCTTAATTCACTATTTTTTAATTATCGTCTTACCTTCTGAGCTGACCGTATTTCTATGGCGTATCACATCTTCCAATGACCCCCCCTCCGAGCCTGGCGCCTCCAGTGTTGCCAGATCGCAAGCCACGTTGCCACCATCATCACTTAATTTGCAGACCTCGTATTCTTGAGCTGCCTTATCGATTATGCCTCCTGAGGCAAAAGCTGTGTTGTCGACGTTTATAAAGAGGACTTTTTCCTTTGAGTGGTCTTTACCGATTTAGCTTTGTTACCTACTTTTCTATTTCCCCACTTGTGCCTCATAGCAGGATGGCCGTGTCATACACTTGGAGATAGGGGTCATCAAGTGTCTCATACTCGATCCTTATCTACAAAGTAAATTCACTTTATCGTCGGAAATATAATCTATTTCCTGCTTACACCATAATTATTGCATATTCAAGCCTTCAGGGGAAGTCCCGAACCAAACGCAAAGATACAATCGATTTTTTTCTGATCTAGATATGGGGTCACCCCCGCCCCCTCCCTTGATACGCCCTTGCGTTTATGACGCTGTGATACCAAATGTCTATCAACTTCATCGGTTTCAGTAGCGTTTGCGATGCGCCGCTGGCTGAACGTATGAGCGCGCACCTTTGTTTTGCGCCATTACTGGAAGAGGATAAAACGCGATTCGACAACCAACGCCCAAGTGGTTTTGCAATTGAATTGTCTCTGTCGATAGCGGGGCAATTGATGCGGTCGGTGGTATGGAAGCGGCGCTAAAGCAGCGCTTAAAGTGAAGCGAATTCGTTTTACCTCCTTCGGGAGATTTGCGACACGTGGCCATAGATACGTTGAAAATGTAATGATGCTCGTAACCGATCTTTCAACACACAGCCGCTCCTTCTTGCTTTACTTGATGCTCCATATGCCTTGGCATTCTTCATAACAATAATGATAGCATTTATTGCCCAACATAACAAAAAAAGTAAAATTAGCAAGACAAGAAAAATAAAGCAAATAATACAAAGGTGCACGACTCAATCCAAAACATAAATATAAAAATCCTAAAATAATAATGATAATAATAGTATTAATAATAATGTCTATTGTCACAAAATACAGGTAAATATTAAATATTAATATAATAATAAACATAAAGCACCCTAAAAAGTTTGGACTTGAGTTTGGGTTTGTTAAAAATAAAAACTAAAAGTACAGTCAGTGTGATAAAAAAAACTGTTAATACTGTATAATTTGGTGAATTGAATTATTATAGTGATGTCAGGAAAAATATCCAGACAATTATAACTAAAGTGAAAGTATGGATGTTAGTGTAAGCAAAATATTATGATTTTGATAATAATTTTTCGTGGATGGAGCACTTTGGTTGTTGTAAAATCCATTTCTTTAGTTCTCTTTTAAATGATCTATTTGATCTAGTTACTTCTAATGACGCTGGTATGAAGCTACGGAATTTTGGTCCCAAGAAAAACGGAGATCGTTGTGTAATGGTTTTTTACGTTTGTGGAATACATATTGAATTTTGATTGAATCTTGTTCGGTAGTTATGAATGGTACGATTCAAGTATTTCGAATATACAGGGTGTTTTAGTTTATTGTTGCATAAGTTTAAGATTCGATAGAACTTTTAAAATTAATGCATAAAGTCTATATAAACATGGTTCGAAAAATGCGTGGCTTCCGAAATACAGGATGTTTAAATTTACTTTCTAAAATAGTTTTTTTTAAATATTTCGAAGAATTTTTGAATAAAAAAACCGATTCTTCGCACTTTTCTGCATAAAAAAAGCTCTTCTGTGAGTTTTCGTTAGTTAGCCGTTTTTGAGATATTTCGATTTATAAGGCTCGATGCATTTTTAATTATTTATGGGAAAATAATATTTTTTTACATTTTCGATTTGGGCATTATAAGTAATTAAGGTGATCGTTTAGGTTGTGTTTTTAAACACAGCAGTAATTCATAACTCCAAATAAACACAAAAAAAAACAGAATATTAATTTGTTTAATTTTCCAATATTATTTTTATCAAATTAAATTAATTATTTACAACTAAAATGCTATTGGATAGTTAGGACAAACATACAAAATCTAAAGTAGTTGCTTGAAATGTAAACCCAATTGTTCAACACACAATTCACATCTACGAATGATCGAACGTGGTATAGCATTATTCAAATAAGGCCTTATTTCATCACATGCATTCCTGATTCTGTCTATTAGCATATCTCTTGTGGTTACGGGAGTCTGGTACACTTTTTCTTTTAGAAATCCCCACACAAAGAAATCTAATGGATTTAGGTCAGGGGATCGTGGAGGCCAGGCGACTGGTCCTCCGCGGCCGATCCATCTTTCTGGATAATTTTCGTCCAGCCAGTTTCTAACTATTCTCGAATAATGAGCTGCACAACCATCAAGCTGGAACCAGGCCAATCTTCTTAAATCTAACATAACATCATCCCACATATTTGCATGTTCAGCCTTTAAAAATTCCAAGAAGGTCGCAGCATTTAACCTTGAAGGCAAAAGGTAGGGTCCAAATAGACGATTACGGTAGATACCAATCCACACGTTCACACTAAATTCATGCTGAAAATTTCTTTCCCGAACTGCATGCAGATTTTCATGCGACCAAATATGTTGATTATGAAAATTTACCACTCCACGTCTAGTGAAGCATGACTCATCGGCCCATAAAACGTTAAATAAAAACTCCCTATTATTATCAGTTCTATCAAGAATCCACTGACAAAATGTGATTCTTCGTTCTCCGTCCCCTGGCTGTAGTCCTTGCACAGGTTGCAAATAGTAAGGACGTCTATGGGCATTTCTAAGAACACGGTGAACATGACTTGCTGAAATTCCCAAGGCACCAGAAACTCTCCTAACACTTGTGGTCGGATCTCTATCAAACTCACGTAGAATCATACGAATAAATCTGCGCTGACGAACATTTATGTTTTGATCCCTTTGGAGATTTCCAAAACCATTTTCATACACAAAATGAATATCCGCTAACTCTTGATTGGACAATAAAAATGGCACTTTTATAAAACTTACAAAAAAAAAACAGGTAAAAGAAACTAAATTTCGTGCATTCACAATTGCAAAAAAACGTTTCCAGTTTCAACAGACAACAAAACTAACTGTCAACTAATTGACGTTTAATCTTATTCTGCTTTCGATTTCAAAAATATTTGCGGGCACAGCCTACTTCTAAAAATTGTCGAGATACTGACTTTTAACGTTATTTTATCATAAATAGTTAAAAATGCATCGAACCTTAAAAATCGAAATATCTCAAAAACGGCTAACTATAACGATAACTCACAGGAGACCTTTTTTATGCAGAAAAGTGCCAAGAATCAGTTTTTTTTTTATTCAAAAAGCAAAAAATTGCACTGAGAAAAAAATTTCGGTCATTTTAATACACTACAGGTACAGTAGAGGGCTCCCTCTAGCGGCTACAGTAAAACTATGCCCATGTTTCGTTTTTTCGTACCAAAAAACGCTTGTATACCAATTTTCACTGTTATACACAAAATATTGTTCGAAATATTTAAAAAAAACTTTTAGAAAGTAAATTTAAACACCCTGTATTTCGGAAGCCACGCATTTTTCGTTTATATAGACTTTATGCATTAATTTTAAAAGTTCTATCGAATCTTAAAGTTATGCAACAATAAACTGAAACACCCTGTATAATATAATGTATTAGACCACAATAAGAATGAATTTGTCTCCAATCTAATAGCTGAGCCTCCGCATATAGAGAATCACTTGAATAACTAATCTCTCTATGGAGGATCAATTTTAGAATTAATTTTTGGATTACATCAACCTTTTTGTAATTATTATTCATAAATCCCCCAAGCCAAAATTCCGTAAAGTAATAGAGGATAAACAAGACCATATTAAAGAATATATAGATGTTTCTTATCCAGAATATCTCTGAAGTACCTGAATTTTGGAATAATACATCTCAGTCTCTTCACAAGGTACTCTGTACGGGCATTCCATTTTAAGTGTTTGTCCAAAATCGCGCCTAAGTATTTTATTTTATCGGCTGACTGAATCCCTTTGAGACCACTGCTTGTATAAAATTCCTGTCGTTACAAGAAAATGCTATATAGTGTGCTCTGTTGTAATTAACTGTCATAGTCCTTTCCGAAAAGAAATTTATAAGTGTTATGAAATCATTTTCGATTGTGGTTTTTAGTGTATGCTACTGGTTACTTTCATAGAGAATAGCTGTATCATCCGCAAAACAGATAACCTGTACTACTTATTTTGAACAAATCGTTGATAAATAGATTAAATAAAATGGGCCCTAATACTGAGCATTAAGGTACACCGTACGATACGATATGGGGTTCACTAGATGTATTATTAATTTTGACGTACTGTGTTCGATTTGACAAATAATTTTCTATAAGTTTGTATGTTATTTCACGGAAACCTAAGTTTTCTAAAGGTGTTAAAAACGATTCATGGGTAATAGAGTCGGATGCCTTTGCCAAGTCAACAAAAACACATGTAGTTGGTTTTCCAATATCGAGATTCGTGTATATTTTACAATAGCATCTTGAGTAGATTTGCCTTCTTGAAAACCATATTGCTGTTCTGCTATTAAGTCATACTTTTTTGCAATTTTTTCCGACTTTATTTGTCGGAATTCAAAATAAATTAATTTTAAAATAATTAAAATTAAAGACATTAACGTTGCCACATTTTCTCTTCTACAAGATGGCATAATAAGAATTTCAATATGACGTTTCGTCTCTTAAAATCCAGTATCAACGTTATTTTTTCTTAAGTACGCCATATTGGACTTTTGCAACGAAACGATGTTTATAAGTAATTTTACATCAATTTTTATGACACCAAACGTTCAAAATAAACTATTACCTGACATTCAAATATTTTCGCGATCATGATAAGTGAAAACACGCACATTCACGAGACGATGACGATCAGCCACTTACATCAGATCTGATTGCATGATTTTGCAATCTAATTTTTAGCAAAAAAATCTAAGATTTCACAAAATGTCAAGACATTTGAGATAAAAGCATATTAGTATTGATTAGCGTATCATCCAAGAAGATTTCACGCCATATGCTGTATATGAAAGTCCACACACAATTTCCATCGTAGCAGCCATGTTGCCAAGGAGCATTAGGTCCTGACACATTATTAAATTTAAGAATGTTTTGATCAAAATTGAATCGCAACGTAAATCAGCTACACCTGAAAACTGATATGAGTGGTTGATGACCCTGGTACCTCGTGACGATAATTTTGAATGTTTTGTGTAATAAAAATTGGTTGCTTCCAAGCCTTATTTTGTATCTTTTTGGAGTTCTCGATCATCTCCGGTGAACGGTGAACTTGACTTCAAAAAATGGTGAATGTGCCATGTACTTTATAAACTAAGATAACCCAACTACAACCATTTTTATCTCACAACCCTTAGGATTTATGAGGTCATGTCCATCGAAACATTTGTTCAGGGCGGTGAGATTTGGAACATATCAAACATTCAGATAATTTAACGGAAGTTCGATTCCTACAACAAAAAGATATCTACTATTGGTATCTTTGTTGATCTAAAA